CTCCCCCTAATTCCAATAATCCCCAACAAGCTCTGTTCCCCACAGACCCCCACAACGCCAGCGACACACTGATACTCTCCACGGGCAGCCATGGCACCCTCACAACGCCCTCTTACGTCACTGCTGACGTCACACACACATACAGCCCCTGGAGGAACGGAAGCACAGACGACAACAACAACAACAGCAGCAACATCACCACCACCACCAACAACAGCTTCATCATCACAGGCAGCTGTGACCTCCTCCCCCGCTGTGAGTCCACCGCCTACCTCCCCGCCGCCTCCACTATCGTCTCGACCTTTGACCTCAAGTGTGAGCGCTCCTCGCTCATCTCCCACATCACCTCCATACAGATGATGGGCGTGGCCCTGGGCTCCTACCTGAGCGGAGAGGTGGGGGACAGGTGGGGGCGGAAGGCTGTCATGTACCTCAACCTGTCGCTCAGCGCTCTCGCCAACGGCTTGGCTGCCTTCGCACCCTCCTGGAAGATTTACGCTGCCCTCAGGTTCCTGATCGGTGTGAGCGGGGGTGGGTGCGTGGCGCTGTCCCTCTACTACCCGCTCGAGTTTGTCACCGCCAGGTGGCGTGTGGCTGTGGCGGGAATCCCGTCATGGGACCTGGGGCTGGTTATCTACGGTCTGCTCATGCTGGCCTTCAAAGACTGGGTCCTGATCCACGTGAGCACAGCCGTCCTTTCCGTCCTCCTACTGGTCGTTGTCTTCTGGATGCCTGAGAGCATGAGGTGGCTAGTGGTCAACTACAGACGGGACAAAGCTGAGGCCGTGGCCAGGAGGATGTGCCGCTACAACAACAGACACCTGCCCAACGCCCAACCCGGACAGATCTTCCCGACCAAAGTCCTCGCAGACCAGGAGGAGACTGAGCAGCAGACGAGACCACCCAGCGTCCTCCAGTTGTTCAGCCGACCCCTGGTCCTCATCACAACGCTCAGCTTCTTCATCTACTTCAGTATGTCGGTCATGTACATGGCCATAGCCTTCAGCATCAGCGCCCTCTTCGGAAACTTCTACCTCAACTTCATCATCTTCGCCCTTCTCTCTATCCCCGCCTCGGTGCTGGTCCCTCTACTGGGCCAGAAGATGGGGAGGAAGAAAGGCGTGATCTTCCTCCTGGCGGTCAGCGCAGTGGTCGGCCTGGCTATCGTGGCCATCTTCTTCGCGGGCTCGGGCAGTGGTCAGAAGACGAGTATGACCATCCTGGCGCTGTGTATCTCGGCACTAGTGGACCAGGCGTGGACTCTAGAGACTGCACACTCCGTGGAGCTGTACCCGACCGCCGTGCGAGCTCTAGGGTTAGGGTTCGTGTCCCTGGGTGCCCGGCTGGGCGGTATAGCGGCCCCGTACGTTGTCCCGCGTGAGCCTGACTCGCTGTACGTGAGTTATCTCATCATGGCGGGCCTGGCGGTGAGCAGCTGCTGTATGCTCCTGGCGCTGCCGGAGACCAGGGACCGCGCGCTGCCAGACGACATCCTACAGGTGGAGCCTCCAGTGGACGGTCACGTGATCGATGACGTCACTGGGGTGATTGGTGTCGGGGGGACAGACGGTGTGGGCGAGGGGGAGAGGGGGGAGAAGAAGGGTGGGGAGAAGGGAGAGAAGAGGGAGAAGGGGGAAAATTGTGGGGAAAAGTATAGGGAGACAGTCGGGGAGTCGGAAATCGGGACACTGCTGGGATCAGAGGTGAGCGTGAGGGCAACGGTGGACAATTCTCGTCTGTCTCTCCGGGACGTGGTGTGACTGTGGGACGTGGTGTGACTGTGGGACGTGGTGTGACTGTAGACTGTCCGGTGGAGGGACGTGGTGTGACTGTCTCTATCCCGTGGAGGGGCGTGGTGTGACTGTGGGACGTGGTGTGACTGTCTCTATCCCGTAGAGGGGCGTGGTGTGACTGTGGGACGTGGTGTGACTGTCTCTGTCCCGTTGAGGGATGTGGTGTGACTGTGGGACGTGGTGTGACTGTCTCTGTCCCGTGGAGGGGCGTGGTGTGACTCTCTATCCCGTGGAGGGACGTCTGTTTTAGTTTTTGTAACATTTTACGGCGCTCACAGTTGCATAAGGTCATATGAACGCCAAGGGGTGGATGTCAACAGAGAAGTCATTACAGGGAATCAGACTTACTCTACTCACCTCTCTAGCTTCAATAGCACAAAGTCTGCTATCAAGGCACCCCCGAAATAGCAGTTCACAAGAAAGTGACAAACATACAAAAGAAGTAGAGGAAAATGACGATAGTAAGGATGAGGGGGGAAAAGCAGCAGTTCCCTGTTGCAGTTCAGGCACAGTATGAGCATGACATCGATGAATCAGCCCATTTACAATTCTACTGTGCATGAGAACAGATTAATGTCCCTCCTTTAGGAATGGCTTAAAGACACTTCAGTCAGTAGCACTGCCCTGGGGGGAGGTGACGTCTGTGAAGGACGTCTTCTTCTTCTTCTTCTTCCTGTGAGATCACAAGAATAGTAGACTGTTGGTCCTTCAGTCTGTATTAGCGCAACCGATCCACCTGTGTGGCCGTGGTTTTTTCTTACTTGGTAGGGCCCCTTGCCTTCAGGCAGCCTTTGCCGTTGGGTGCCGGTGAATGGCACAGTGAGCGCAGCATCTATTCGGAGACGTCTCCGACGTAGATAGACCAAGCAAAAAGCGTTGTGCCTCTAGACCAAGTAAAAAAAATCTGGGGGGTTAGAGGGGGCATGGCCCAATGTTTTAACCCATAATTTGATACATGTATTTTGCAGTTAGGTTTGAAATTTTCTTGAAAAAAATTGATTTGCTTCAGTTTTCGTGGCTATATATGTGATCTGCAGCAAACAATACGCAGTTTAACCCCCC